TTCCCTTCCACCTGAAACACAGACCGGGTCTCTGCCAGAGAGAACGTGGAGAAAAGAGGAGCCAGGCTCAACGTGGAGAGAGTGGGAGAGGATAGAGACCCAAAGCAACCCAATCGGTGGAGGGAGTGCAAGCAATTGAGAATATAATCTCAAAAATATTCATAGAAGGGTATGAGAGAGAGTGAGAGAGAGAAAAAACATTCACACAACAATAAAGGGAAAATAAAAGGAATTAAAGAAATATTGGAGAGTGTGCAAAGAGTGCAAGATCAACAAACACAGATACCCAGAGAGAGAGGAAAGAGAGAGAGAGAGAGAGGAGGAGGGGAGTTAGAGATAGGCAGGAAAGATATATATATATATATAGATATGAGTCACTGGGATTCAGAGAGATGGAAAGAGAGAGAGAGACAGGCATAGGGCAAAAGGGGAGAGGGAAGAGCATTGAACAGACACAGAACGTTAGAGGCAGATATGGACCAAGTGATAAGAGTCACAGAGAGATAGAGAGAGTGAGATAGGGAGATAGAGACAGAGAGTAAATTGGCCAGTCAATCCATGTTTATGAGTCACTGCTGTGTGCAAATTGGCTGCTGCATTTCACCCACAAAATACACAGTGACTATACTTTACAGTATATCTTGTGAAGCACTTTTGAGACATCTCGACAATGTGATGAGGCAGCGCCTTGGGACGTCCTCTCGACGTGACAGGTGCTATACCAATGTAATATTGTATTGTATTAAATGCAAAGGTGGAGTCCTGTAGCTCAGTGGTTAGAGCACTCGCCTTACAAGCGAGAGACCTGAGTTCAAGTCCAGTCAGGGCCAAACCTCGGGCAAGTTTCCTTACTCCACACAGAGCCTAATAATATTCCCTCCAAAACAAAACAATAATAAATTGGTCATTTTCAATCTACGACTGTTTGTGGGACATTGCTGTGCGCAATTGGCTGCCGCGTTCGCCCACAAATATACAGTCAATTCACTTTACAGTGTGTTCTGTGAAGCGCTTTGGGACGTCCTCCTGACGTGAAAAGCACTATATCAAATGCCAGGATTATTATTATTATTATTATTATTATAAATGCAAGAGAGAGAGATAGGGAGATATACAGAAATACAGAGAGGGATAGAGACAGACAGCCAGAGAGAGACAGGGATACAGAGAGGCATACAGAGATAGAGACAGTGATAGAGAGAGCTAGAGATACAGGGAAATGCTTTTAAATTCAAATCCATTGCAGATCGCAACTCTAGATAAGGAGATTCACTTACTGTCAGTCACAAATGCAACTCCGAGCTTTATACTGAGATTGATGTTGTGTGTGTGTGTGTTTATGTTTTTTAATAAACAATTTCTGGGGTAATAATTCTTTCAAAAAAATAATATAAGAAATTGGTCACACAACCCACGACTGTTTGTGGGACACTGCTGTGTGCAACTGACTGCCCCGTTTCGCCCACAAAATACATAGTCACAACACTTTATAGTATATTCTGTGAAGCACTTTGAGACATCTCAATGATGTAATAAGGCACTATATCAAATGCAAGGATTATTATTATTATTACTATGTCTTATCTCACGAACTATACAGTCACTCACTTTACAAAGTATTCTGTGAAGCTCTTTGAGACATCTCAAATGCAAGGATTATTATTCAACCTGTCCGTCAAACCCGTTAAGCTTCCATCTATTTATTAATATTATTTTGTGTGTTTATGTGTGCAAGTGTGTGTGTTGCACAGACTGACAGGAACAGAAACACTAACAAGCGCTGAGCCAGAGAGAGAGCAACATTAATTGTCAGAGTGAGAAATCTCCCAATAACTTCAACTCCAACCATATAGAAATTGCCTGGAGAGGACCCTGAGGATAAATTAGGTAAAGTAGGAATGGGAGAGAGAGAGAGAGAGCGCAGGTTAACCACGAAAGCAAGGGGTGGATGGAGAGATCAGATGGAGAATGGAGAGAGAGGAATGGACAAAGGGAATGGGATGAAGAGTGGTGGGAGGAAAGGGAGGGAGAGAGAGAGAGATGGAGTGAGACAGAGAGAGGCAGAGAGAGAGAGAGAGACACATACACAGACAAATACAGAGAGCCACAGAGAAAGACAGAGACAGAGAAAGGGAGGAAGAGAGAGGCACGAATGGAGAACATGGGAATTGAGGCGGAAAGGATGGAGGGGAAAAAATGAAAATAATAAGACAGGACAGGTTTCATCCAAGTGAAAATTACAATATTAATATTAAATGTGTGTCTCTGGGGGCTGGGAAATTTCTGTAGACTGAGGTAAAGAAAGATGGGCTTATGAGACGAATTGCAAGTAGAGACCGAAATATAGACAGACATAGAGACAGAGAGAGACACACAGAGAAACAGGGACAGACAAAGACACACAGAGAGAGGTACAGAGAGGGAGAGACACAGAGAGACATAGAGAGAGAGAGACAGACAGGGGGGGGACAGAGAGAGAGAGGGACAGGGAGAGAGTTAGAGACAGAGAAAGAGACACAGAGAGACAGACAGAGAGAGATAGAGAGGGGACCGAGAGAGAGAGTGTGACAGAGAGAGTGACAGAGAGAGAGGAGACAGAGAGAGTGTGTGACAGAGAGAGTGACAGAGAGAGAGGAGACAGAGAGAGTGTGTGACAGAGAGGGAGACAGAGAGTGTGTGTGACAGAGAGAGTGACAGAGAGAGAGGAGACAGAGAGAGTGTGTGACAGAGAGAGTGACAGAGAGTGTGTGAGAGAGGGAGACAGAGAGAGTGTGTGACAGAGAGAGTGACAGAGAGAGAGGGAGACAGACACAGAGAGAGGGGGACAGAGAGAGAGTGTGTGACAGAGAGAGTGACAGAGAGAGAGGGAGACAGAGAGAGTGTGTGACAGAGAGAGTGTGTGACAGAGAGAGTGACAGAGAAAGAGGGGGACAGAGAGAGAGTGTGTGACAGAGAGAGTGACAGAGAGAGAGAGGAGACAGAGAGAGTGTGTGACAGAGAGAGTGACAGAGAGAGAGGGGACAGAGAGAGAGGGGGACAGAGAGAGAGTGTGACAGAGAGAGTGACAGAGACAGAGAGGGAGACAGACAGAGAGAGAGGGGGACAGAGAGAGAGTGTGTGACAGAGAGAGTGACAGAGAGAGACAAATCCACCCCCAGTCCCTGTGTCTGAGCTCAGTCCAGTTCAGCACCACCAGAGGTGGACAGTTCCCAGGTGTCGGCAGAGAGAGCGAGGAGAGGAGGGAGGGGGAGAGAGGGAGGGGGAGAGAGGGAGGGGAGAGGAGAGAGGGGGAGAGGAGAGAGGGAGGGGGAGAGAGGGAGAGGAGAGAGGGAGGGGGAGAGGGGGAGGGGGAGAGAGAGAGAGAGGGGGGGAGAGAGGGAGGGGGAGAGAGGGAGGGAGAGAGGGAGAGGAGAGAGGGGGAGAGAGGGAGAGGAGAGAGGGAGGTGAGGGGGAGAGGAGGGAGGGGGAGAGAGGGAGGGGGAGAGAGGGAGGGGGAGAGAGGGAGGGGAGAGGAGGAGGGGGAGAGGAGGGGAGGGGGGAGGGGGAGAGAGGGAGGGGGAGAGGGGAGGAGAGGGGGAGAGAGGGGAGAGAGGGGGGGAGAGAGGGAGGGGGAGAGAGGAGGGGGGAGAGGGAGGGGGAGAGGGAGGGGGAGAGGGAGAGGGAGAGGGGGGGGGAGAGGAGGGAGAGAGGGGGAGAGAGGGAGGGGGAGAGGAGGGGAGGGGGAAGAGGGAGGGGAGAGGGGGAGAGAGGGAGGGGGAGAGAGGGAGGGGGAGAGGGGGAGAGAGGGAGGGGGAGAGGAGGGGGAGAGAGGGAGAGGGAGAGGGAGAGAGGGATGGGGAGAGGAGGGAGGGGAGAGGAGGGAGGGGGCCAGAGAGGGGGGGGAAGGGAGGGAAGGGAGAGGGAGAGGAGAGAGGGGGAGGGAGGGGAGGGGAGAGAGGAGGGGGCCAGAGAGGGAGGGGAAGGGAGAGAGGGGGAGAGGGAGAGAGAGAGGGAGGGGGAGAGAGGGAAGGGAGAGGAGAGAAGGGGAGAGGAGGGAGGGGGAGAGGAGGGAGGGGGAGAGGAGAGAGGGGGAGGGAGGGAGAGAGAGAGAGAGAGGGGCAGGTGAGGGAAAGGAAGCAGAGGAGGGAGCGAGAGAGAGAGAGGAAGCAGGGGAGGGAGGGAGAGAGGGAGGCAGAGTGAAGGAATCAGCGAGTGGGAGGTAAGAGGGCAGGGAGAAGGAATGAGGGAGATAGAGAAAATGAGAGGAAGGAAGAAAGGTAACGAGAGAGACGGAGGAACCAGATGGAGGGAGAGGGAAATTAAAGATTTGAGGCAACAACACGGAATGAGAGAAGGGAAGAAGAAGAGATAGAAGGAATGTGAGGGGGAAGAGAGAAGTAAGACAGACAGAATAAAGGTGAATGAAAGAAATGAAGGAGAGAGGGGGGTAATGAAAGAGGGGAAAAAACAGTGGGGGGGGGGGGAGAAAGAGTACGAGGCGGAACAAAATAGAGGGACAGTGAGGAAGAGCCACAGAGCAAGGGAATGAGTCAGAAGAGACAAGTGAGATGGAGAGAGAGTCAACAAGATGAGAAGAGGAAGAGAGGGGGAGTGAGAGAGAGGGGAGTAAGTTGTGGTCAACCTCATGAATTTAAGAAGCTTCACACACAGTTACTCAGACAGTAACAACTCAGACCTCTCCTGATCCCAACTCGGGTCCAGATCCCTGACTCAGCAGCACCTTGGACATCCTCCCAACATGAAAGGCGCTGTACAAATTTAGTTTGTTGTTCGTTGGAAACCCGTTGGTTTTACACTCCCTCCGAGTGTCCACACCTCAACACCTCCATTCCCTCTATCACGTAGGCAACAAACAACTCATTTCGCATAATCCACACCTCTGTCTCCAACCCTGACCTGGGAGTGTGGACTTACACTGTCTCTTATCTTCTCTCCCTCATTCTTTGTGTATTAGGGTTAGAGACACAGTAAAGCTCCTTCCACGTCCACACTCCCAGGTCAGTGAGTGTTACTCATAGGAACAGGAGTAGGCCATTCAGCGACTCAAGCCTGTTGCACTATTCTGTTTAATCATGACTGATATCTACCTGACTCTCAGTTCTGTCCCCCCACACCCGGTGCTCACCATATGCTGGACGGCAGAGACAATCTGAGCGAAGAGCTTGCGTGCGAGGTCCTCGGGGAGGGGTCCCTCGGTGCTGACGCTGGTGAACAACTCACCCCCGGCAGCATACTCCAGCACCAGGTGCAGTCTGGTGAGGGTCTCTATCACCTCATACAGACGGATGATGTGGGGATGGTGCAGCCGCTCCATACTGGCAATCTCACGGGACAGCAACCGCTCTGTCTTCTGGTCCAGCTTACTCTTGTCCAGGATCTTAATGGCCACTTTCTCTGAGGGAGGGAACGAGGGAGAGGGAGATAATATTAGAGAGAACTTGAGAGAAAAAGTGGAGGAAATGAGACCGAGAAAGGGGGCAGAGTGAGAGAGCGATAGAGGGAACGAGAGAAGGAACAGAGGAAGAGGGTACGTGAGAAGAAAGGAAGGAGAGGGGAAACGTGAGGGGGAGAGCAATACAGAGACAATACGAATGTGAAAGGAGGACGGAAAATTTTATTTTTTTAGCATTCTCAAAGGTTTCATAGGAAGTTAGTCGTATGTAGTGACTATTCTGTAGGCAAACTAATTTGCACACAACAGTGTACCACAAACAGCCATTGAAGTGATTAACCAATTTCATCTGGGGAATTGTCCGACAGCTTCGCAGGAATTCTTTAGTTGGCCGAGTGCCTTTCACACGCGGAAACTCATCACAGTGATCAACTGGGCGTCTGACACATGAAACCCCATCACTGATCAGCCAAGGTGTCTGACACACTCGGAAACCCATCACCATGCTTAAGTCTCCAAGCCAGACTGAGATTTCCACATACGTACACACGGAATTATCCCTGTATCTGGAGTGGAATGCACACTCTCCCTGGAGGAATGCACTCTGTCCACCTAATTCAGGAGAATATTAGGCGCAAGGTTGGAAAGGAGCCAGGACTTGGGGACAACAACAACTTGCATTTATAAAAAGTGCCTCATGTAGGGTAGCGTCCCAGAGCCAGGGACCCCAGAATGTGCGTTAGGGTAACTGCTAAATAATAATAATCATACTTGCATTTCGTATAGCGTTTGTCACGTCTTCTCGACATCTCAAAGCGCTTCACAGAATATGCTGTAAAGTGAATTGACTGTATATTTGTGGGTGAACGCGGCAGCCAATTGCGCACAGCAATGTCCCACAAACAGTCGTGGGTTGAAAATGACCAATTTATTATTGTTTCTTTGGTTTTGGAGGTATTATTAGGCTCTGTGTGGAGTGAGGAAACTTGCCCGAGGTTTCGCCCTTACTCTTTAATGTTGTTTTTCTCAAGCATTTATGGTTCACAAGTTTGGTTCAGACCAAGAGACCCATCAGCCCATTTGATCAAACCATTGGACTTAATAGCCATTTGTGGTAAAAGTGAACTGACTGTATATTTGTGGGTGAAACCCATCAGCCAATTGCACACAGCAGTGTTCCATAAACAGTCGTGGATTGAAGTGACCAATTTATTATCTTTTTTCTTGAGGGATTATTATTAGACGTGTGGAGTAAGGAAACTTCCCCAAGGTTTCTCCCTGCCTGGAATCAAACCCAGGTGTCTCGCTTGTGAGCTACAGGACTCCACGATAGTGCCATGGGATCTTTTAACGTCCAACTGAACAGCGGCACTGTGCTCACCCCCCCCCCCCCCCCCCCCCACCCACCCACCACAGCGCTGCACTGGAGAGTCAGCCTGGATTGTGAGCTCAGAGTCCCCAACGTGGGGCTCGAACCCACAACCCACAAGCTCCTGATTCGGAGGTGAGAGCCTGAGGGGGGGGTGAGTGTTGCCAGGGGGTGGGCAATGTTGCTGGGGGTGTGGGGAGTGTTACCGGGGGTTGAGGGGTGTTCTGGGGGATGGGTAGTGTTGGCGGAGGGAGGGGAGTGTTGCCGGGGACTGGGGTGTGTTCCGGGGGGGGGGGCGGTGTTACCGGGAGCCTGTACCTTTGGTCAGCACGTGGATGCCGAGTTTGACCTGGGAGAAGTTGCCGCTGCCGATCTGCCCACGGAGCCGGTAAAACCCGATCCTGCGGCCGAGGGTCACCTCCTTTATGGTCCTCTCATCGTGTGTCACATCGTGGTTCAGCTTCTCCAGGGGGGTCAGTGTGCGGGACCTCCCGTCCCCCTCACACCCCTCCTCTTTGCCTTGCCCCTCACATCCCACTCCCTTGCCCTGCCCTTCACAACCCTCCCTCTTGCCCTGCCCCTCACAACCCTCTCCCTTGCCTTGCCCCTTACAACCCTCCCCCTCCTTGCCCTGCCTCTCGTACCCCACCTTCTGCCCCTTACACCCCTCCCAGTTGCCCTGTCCTTCGCACCCCATCTCCTGCCCCTTACTCCCCTCCCCCTTTCCCTGCCCCTCACAACCCTCTCCCTTACCCTGCCCCTCGCAATCCTCCCCCTTGCCCTGCCCTTCACAACCCACCCCCTTGCCCTGCCGCTCACAACCCTCCCTGTCCTTGCCTTGCCCCTCACAACCCTCCCCCTCTTTGCCCTGCCCCTCATAACTCTCCCCCTCCTTGCCCTGCCCCTCACATCCCTTCCCCCGACCATGCTCCTCCACACTCTCCTGTCGGCCCCACCGGGTGTGGTGCTGGGGCCCTGGGCAGCCTCCGCTCACGTCCACCGCCATCATAGCCCGGAAACAGCGCCCCACAGGGGTGGGAGACAGGGAGGTACAAACGCTCTGAATTCTATCTGTTTGCCCTCATCACTCGCTCGGGGATTAATCCAAATCTTCAACTCCTCTCCCAAGATCTTCACAAGCGAAGACTCTCTCCCACATTGCGACGAGCGGGGATTTAGACAGGAAGCGGGGGGAGGGTGGGAGGGGGCTGGGGTGTGTATGTGCAAATCCTTAACGGTCCCAACACCCTGGAATGCCCTGACGTGAAAGGTGTTGTATTAACGTAATTTGTTGTGTGTGTGTGCGAGGGGAGGAGGTTGAGTTACAGTTGGGGAATAACTTTAATAAGAGGAAGGAGTGGACAATTTTCACCTCTAACCAACCTGCCTGTTCCCTGCTCGCTAGGCACCGCTGCCCCCCAGCTCCGGATTAGGGATCGGGATGACCGGGAGCCTCACTCACTCATTTTCCCATTCCCGACAACCCGAAGGGCTCGGTCAATCACCTCCGGCATTCCCGGGGGAAGAGGAATTCCTATTTTTTCCTGGGTTAAAGGCTCTGGACTTCCTCGGGTAGCGGGATGTGTGACAGCGAGACAGGCCGAGGTGGAAGGAGTAGAGAGTTTCAGGGGAGTGGGGAAAGTGGAGGGCATTGATGTTAATACATCTGCTCAGATGTGATAAACTGGTGGAACAGGCTGCGTGGGCTGAATGGCCTCCTCCTTATCCCTGTTTTGGATGGGGGAGGCAGTGGGCACTTTCCAAAAAGGTCTAAGGCTGTTAAGCGTGTTCTCTCGCTCCTCTCCTCTCACTCTCGTTCTCTCCGATGTGCAGTCGTCAGGAGCTGAACTGGGAGATGGCCTTTCTCTCTGTTGACACAACAAAAAATTACATCTGTAGAGCTTCTTTTCCATCGGGAGGAACGTATACAAAACACAGACAGTTAGTTTAGGGCACTTTGCACATTATGTGGTTAGAATCACAGTAAAAGAGGTGATGCCCCCCCCCCCCCCCCCCCCACATTGTGCCTTTGCTGGTGATTGCTCCCCACTGCTGCTCTCTACTCCTCCCATTTACCCTCAACCTTCACTTACTAATAATAATAATCCTTGCATTTGATAATAGAGCTTTACCACGTTGGAAAGACATCTCAAAATGCTTCACGGGACATACTGTCGAGTGTGTAGTGACTGTGTATTTTGTGCATCAACAGCGTCCCACAGACAGTCAAGAGGTGAGTGATTTTATCTGGGGGATTATCAGACAGTAAACCGGGAGAGAGAAATTCCCTTCTCTTCCAACAGCGCTGCAGGATCTTTTAACGTCCATCTGAACAGGGCACAGCCGGGGAGCTCGGTTTAACCCCTCATCCAAAGGACGGCGCCTCCGACAACGCCATTTTCTCCCCCCAGCACTGCACTGGAGCATCGGCCTGGATTGTGAGCTCAAGAGGTCGGGTGGGGGGGGGGGGGCGGTGAGTGTTGGAGCCGGGATGGGGGGAGCAGGGACTTGCCCTGTGACCTCAGTTGGTACCACATAATGAATGTACTGAGAAGGATGGGGTCCGCAGGGGAGGAGGGACTCTTATTGTCCAAATGGAGGGCGAGGAATCAAAGCAAATCAAACCCAGGCCCTGAATAATGGATCAGGAAAAGCTGCTCTTGAAAGGCACGTGGGAATAACGAGGCGAGGCCTGGCTCAGGCTGGCAACCCCACTGCTGCTGTCGTCTCGTTCATAATTCATGGGGCCCGTCCCACTGGCCTGCGTTCACACCCCCCTCTACCCTGCACACACACGCGTGTTGTAAACGGTGGGTGTGAACATGGACTCACATTTGGCTGTAAACTCCAGCACTCCCATGACCACATCACCGCCAGGACCTGATTGCAGAGAATTATCACTCAGTGTGTGGGTAACCTGAGAAGCACGCCCCCCCCTCCCCATTCCCCGGGGTTTGACACCGCAGCGCAGTGGGGGAGAGACCCCCGCATTGTCAGAGACGCCATCCTTCAGATGAGATGCTAAACCCATCTCAGTGTTTTGCCCACAAAATACACATTACAGTATATCCTCTGAAGTGCTTTGAGACTTCAACATTGTGATAAGGCGCTATATCAAAGGCAGGGATTATTTTTATTATTGTATGCACGGAATGGATTGCAGTATCCTCTCTCGTTAATTGTAAACCACAGCTCTCTTCATTACGATCCAAAATTACATTTGTAAAGCACAGTTGAGGGTCAGACAAGATGCCGAGCTTCCAGACTGGCTCAGTGGAGTGTGCATCCATGGATTATCCTGGTAATCACAAAGCACGTTGATCAGATCACAATCTGATTTTCTCGGCAACATGGTGTGAGGGGGTGGGGGGCAATCAGAATCTTATTATTAGATTAATTAGATTAAAAGTTGTATTTTGTCTTTGCCCAGCTGGGTGTCTAACACGTGGGGAAACCCATCACCATTGCTTAAGAGTTTCCAAACATGACTGAGAGTTCCATGCATCCCTCCTACACGTGGAAATCTCGGAGATAGAATGTGGAATGTGCTCTGTCCTCCTGGCGGGATGCATTCCTGCTGACCCAATTCCGGAGAGTATCCAAAGCCTTGACTGTCAGGCGCCTTGGGACGTCCTGCTGACGTGAAAGGCGCGATACAAGTGTAATTTGTACTGTATTAGGTGCAGTTGGCAAGAGCCCAGGCTTGGGGACCTCAGAGTGTGTGTGGGGGTAACTGCTGGAGTCTAATCAGCTAAAGCTGTATTCCTTGCAATTGAGATCACTATCTGGCAGCTTCCCCGCTGCTTGTCCAGCGAGGACCGCCCTCCCCGTTAGTTAGGGCTTTGGCTGTAGGGTTAACAGGAGCTGAGGGGGAGGATTCCCCAGTGACTGGTCGGCCCTTCCAGGTCCTGCCGCTGAGCCGGGCCGGGCTGTGAGTGCCCTGGGATACTGTGGACCCGCCCGGCTCAGCAAATAATAATTTTATAATTGTACTGGTTGTCGCTGTGCGCAAGGTGTCTGTCACAACGGTCTACAGAACACACAGTCACTACACTTCACAGCGAATCCCGGAATACGTCTCCTGAGGTGAAAACCACTGTATGAATCAGTTGTAAGCCGTCCATGGCCTCACCCCACCCTACCTCTGCGACCTCCTAATCCCCTACCAACTTACCCACTCCCTCCGCTCAGCCGGCTCCGCCTGCTCCATGTCCCCCGACACACCCGCCCCACCATTGGCGGGAGAGCCTTCAGCCACTCTGCCCCCAACCTCTGGAATTCTATCCCCCAACCACCGTTGCCTAAATAACCCCCTCCTTAGCCTCCTTCAAGTCCCACCTCAAGACCCTCTTCTTGGACCATGCCATCGGCCACTCCCCTTCCCCCCCCCCCCCCCCCCGATCCCAGCTTGGGTCTGAAATGCTGTACTCCTTTGGTCATCTTCCCACCCTCTACTGAGAGGAAAGCTCCAGTGGGGGAGTGAGCACCGGCACAGACACGATGGGGAGAGAGCAGGGGATGGGGTTAGAATACAGAGTGGGGGAAGGGGGCTGTTGATGGAGTCACTGAGAGATTAACATGTTTCCTGAGAGACACTCAGTCACCATCCCCATGGTAATCAGCAAGAAGTGTTAATCCTTCCTAACAACATCAGAGGCGAGAGAGAGAGAGAGACGGAGATTTATTTTTGCTGAGCCGGGTGTCTGACACACGTGGAAACCCATCACCGTTGCCTAAGAGTCTCCAAACCAAACCGAGAATTCCCTGTATCCCACCTACACACACGGGAATCCCAGAGACAGATTGTTGGAATGGAATGCGCTCTCTCTCTCTCTCTCTCTCTCTCCCCCTCTCCCTGGAGGGACGAATCCTGGTTATCTAATTCCGAAAAGTATTAGGTGCAGATTGGCAAAGAGATAAAGGGACTGAGAGGGAGAGACAGAGATAAAGAGACGAATAGAGACAGAGAGGGAGAGAGTGTAATCGAGAGAGACTGAGAAATAAATAGCGCCTGAGGACGTCCACTTGATGTGAACGGCACTATACAAACATAATTTTGTATCGTATGGTAAGCTGAGATACTGAAGAGTGAGAGACACAGAGAAAGACACGGAACGACGACAACAAATGACATTTGTGTAGCACTTTTCTGGTCGGGAGGACACCCCAAGTCCGGACCTGGGATCAGAACGCGTATTGACACAATGCCTTTATCGCGTTTCACGGGATTTTTTTACCGCAACGTATTAGTGACTGTGCGATTTGTGGGCGGACCAATTTACACCGGAGGGGGGGGACAGTGTGGGGGGGACAGTGTGGGGGAGAGGAGGGGTGACAGTGTGTGGGGGAGAGGGGGGGGAGAGGGGGGGGGACAGTGTGGGGGGGAGGGGGGGGACAGTGTGGGAGGGGGGGGACAGTGTGTGGGGGAGAGGGGGGGGGTGTGGGAGGGGGGGACAGTGTGTGGGAGAGGGGGGTGACAGTGTGGGGGGGTGACAGTGTGGGGGGAGTATGGGGGGGGAGGGGGGGGGGACAGTGTGGGGGGGACAGTGTGGGGGAGAGGGGGGTGACAGTGTGTGGGGGAGAGGGGGGGGAGAGGGGGACAGTGTGGGGGAGGGGGGGGGGGGGACAGTGTGGGGGAGAGGGGGGGACAGTGTGTGGGGGGAGAGGGGGGGGACAGTGTGGGGGGAGGGGGGGGACAGTGTGTGGGGGGAGAGGGGGGTGACAGTGTGGGGGGTGACAGTGTGGGGGGAGTGTGGGGGGGGGGGGGGGGAACAGTGTGGGGGGGGACAGTGTGGGGAGAGGGGGGTGTGACAGTGTGGGGGAGAGGGGGCGTGACAGGTGGGGTGCAGTGTGGGGGAGAGGGGGGTGACAGTCGTGGGGGGGAGAGGGGGGGTGACAGTGTGGGGGGGGAGAGGGGGGGTGACAGTGTGTGGGGGGAGAGGGGGGGACAGTGTGGGGGGAGAGGGGGGTGACAGTGTGGGGGGGGAGAGGGGGGGTGACAGTGTGGGGGAGAGGGAGGGGGGGTGACAGTGTAGGGGGGGAGAGGGGGGGGAGAGGGGGGGGAGAGGGGGTGAACAGTGGGGGGGGAGAGGGGGGGTGACAGTGTAGGGGGGGGGGGTGACAGTGTGGAGGGGGGTGAGTTGGAGGGGGGGTGACAGTGTGGGGGGGGTAGAAGTGGGGATTGTGTGAGTGTGGGGGGGAGGGGGGTGACAGTGGGGGGGGGAGA